TTTCTATTTTGTTAACATTATCTTTTACTCATTTTTTAATGTAAATCACTTTTGTTTAACACGAAATATTTAATTGAAAAGACAGTTTTATACCGTTTACCGGCGAATTCTACCGCCGTTAGCCGGAGATGGCCGATCGGTTCTTTCCAAACGAGATGCCTCCCTTTGTGGCAGAGACAGCAGACCAAATTCCATTGACGGACTCCCTCACTGCTCTTCTCTCGCTCCCTTACCAAACCCTATCTGCAAAGTTCCAAGAGTNATTGATGATTTTGAAATTGTCCACAGCACCATATTCTTACAGATTATAGGAAACGTCCACAAAATCGTCATGTTTGGACGCTTCATAACTATAACAGTTATCTGCGTTGCGATTAGTTTAGACTTGGAGACATTGCCACAGCTGACTTTGTGAGTAACCTTTAAGGTGCAATATTTGTCAGGTTTTGGTCGGAAATGTGTTATTGATATTGTTTTTATTGTTTGTATTTGTTTATGCCATTTGTCCACGATGATCATTGGTGGTGTTATTCAGTGAAATTGAGTTCATTAGAGATATTTGTGATTGACTCATTGGGTAAGGGGATCAGAGACCGGAAAAGGATAGACACAGCTGTTGTAAGATTCCACATATTTCATTATTGATGACCCTGTGATTGTTAGATAACCCTGTATTGTTTAACATTTTTTTGTATTTGTTAACTGGTAGGCTGAAAATATGGCACGATTTTTTTGCCTCTTGATGAATAGACCAGAAGGTAGTATTGGTCCTTTGACTGTTAAACAAGCAAATATCCCATCCCAACCAAACTTGTAAGTTTTTTGAATTGTACTGTTGTATTATATTGTGTTGTGATGAATATATGGTGAAAAGTAATTTTATGTGGTGGGTATATTATTTGAGACATGATTGTGGAGTCATAATGTTGAAAGAAATGGAAATTTGGGATGGAGACGACAAATACAACGGAAAAAGCATGCCTCAATATACAACTGTAAGTAGCAATTGTGTGTTTGTTAAAATTATTTTATGTGTTGGTTTCTAATGGGGAAAATGTTGGTTTCAGGAGGAGCTGCTTGGGATTAGAAAGAAATATGTATGTGAATGGATCCTGGACAACGAGTACATAAGACGAATGGAAGCCCTAGAGCTATATGGCATTCTTTAGGATTGCTTACACATGAACAAATTTGTCTTGTAACACAACATGTTTATATATGTACATAATGTTAGTTGACAATGTAAACATTGTTTTTGAAATAAGATTATTGGTTAGATTTTCAATTTAATTGTTTTGACGTTGTGTTTGTTATAATGAATAAATCTTTTATTGAAAAAATATCGCACCATTATAATAAGTATTTGAAAAGTAAGGGAGGGTTTCATAAGTGAAATTAAGGGTCATTACTGCGAGGGAGTTGAACAAGTTTTAAGTTGGGCTGGTGAAAAAACTAAATGGTAATCGTTTACAGTGGGTTAATAAACGATTACGCGACAATAATGTGTGTTTTGTACAGAAATTTGAATTGAAATAGTGAACCAGGGTGACTTTGGTGACCATTGGCAAAAATTGTTAGTTTGACTCAGAGTTGCACTTGTGTTTGGAAGATGTTGGTGTTTTAGTGGTCTTAGAGGGTAGTAGGTGATGTGAGGTGACCCCAAGTAGTGAGGAAGAACCCATTTTCAGTGGGGGAAACAACTTGGGCAAGGCTTGAGCTAGTCTGCTGAAAAACACACATTCGTAATCATTTACACAGTCCTGGTAAACGATTACGCGAGAATATTCCAGGTATTGTACAGAAACTTCAACTGCAGTAGTCAGTCAGGGTAACATGGGTGACCATTGTCAAAAACAGTTTGTTGGAGTCACATGTGGACTTGTATTTGGAAGATGTTAGTCATTGACTGTTGGTAGATGGTGCTTCGTGATGTGATGTGACCCCAAGGACTGGGGAATGAGGCAATGTGAGTGGGGGGACCAAGTTGTGGAAGGGCTGAGTGAATTTGCTCAAAACACCCTGCTCAAAACGATTACAGCAGGGTTTTTGGACCACTCTGATTCAGCCCTTACACAACTTGGTCCCCCCACTCAAAATGGGTCACTCCCCAGTCCTTGGGGTCACATCACATCACCAAGCACAAGCTACCAACAGTCAAACACCAACATCTTCCAAAGACAAGTGCAAATGTGAGTCAAACATACTGGTTTTGACAATGGTCACCCGTGTTACCCTGACTGACTACTTCAGTTGAAGTTTCTGTACAAAATCTAGATTTCTCTAGCGTAATCGTTTACCAGAACTGTGTAAACGATTACAACAGGGTTTTTGGAGCAGTCTTATTGAGCCCTTCCACAACTTGGTCCCCTCACTCAAAATGGGTTCTTCCCCACTGCTTGGGGTGACATCACATCACCTACTACCCTGTAAGACCACTCAAACAACAACATCTTACAAACACAGCTACAACATATCGAACACAAAACTTCAGCAGATACTCAAATGCACAAACCCACAAATCATAATAACAATGCTATTGAAAAAATAAAATATGTGACCAAACCAAAAACTCAAATTTTATATTATTCAACTAAATCCGATACATTACACTTTGTTTTCTTAATCTATTTATAATGATCATTTATTTTCCATTAATCAACTCAATACACATATCACTAATTTTTTATTCTAAGCACTACGGTTCCGGTGTATGGAGTCCTAAGTGCTCTTCCCTTGTAACGCCTTCGTGATCCAACCCTAACATACGTCTTCAAAGGTTGTTGATTTGTGTCAATGTCAGTAGGGGATACAAAACCAGTGTTCATGGATGGTTCTGTACGAGGCACACTTTCTCCATTGTGATCTTTATTTTGTCGTCTTGCCTTCTCTTCAGCCAATTGTGCCTCCAAACCTGCAACCCTCCTTTTAAGTTCTTCAATTAGAAATTCTTGGTCCTCTAAGGCATGCATAAAAGTTTCTCTTCGATTTCTTTTTTGTATCTTATTTGGTCTTGGTTGGGCATCCTTTCTTGTTGGTGTTGGTCTGTATTCCTTCTTATCCTTGGTTGAAGCACCAACATAAACATCATCAACAACCTGATATTTAACCACATATTTCAGACTACACAAGTTTTGTCAATATATCAAAACATAACAAAACTTCGGATAACAAACCACATACCAAACCTGTCTCCATACACCGTTTTACGAACTTGTCTCCAACACTTCTATTCATCCATTGCAATATTCGTGAAAATTTATCAATTGGACCTTCGGGTGGAACAAAAAGCTCAAAAAACCATACCTAAGAAAAATAAATCATCTTAACTTCTAGTAAAAAACTAAAATCACATAACAATAAACAAACAATTTACATTTTACATCAACAAGTAATAATTACTTGCAGCATGTAAACACAACCATCCACGTAAACGTTTGTTGTACCTTTGCCTTTCTTCAAGCCTTCTGAAGCTTTGCGCAAACTACGTAACAAAAAACGATAAACTAGACTACCCCAACAATAACTACCAAACCACTTAAGTTGTCAACAATATTAAACATTACGGGAAACACTTTTCCGCTACGTTTTGGAAATAAAATCTCACATATCCCTACCAATAGGTAAAGGCTACAAAAATGAGAACAAGGGATCTTTTTCTTGTGTTTTCGCATTAGAATTTTGTATATCGAATTCAAATAATCCTTTGTTCCTTTACCTATGTATTTCACACATTGAATATTTCTCATTTCCTCCTTTAAGTTAATATTTTCACCATCTGTACTCAATCCCAATGCTAAATAAAAATCATTTTCATTTATATTCAAAACTTTATTTCCAACTAAAAAACCACTACTCGAGTCGTCCCACTTACCCAATAACTCACTCAATATATTTCTACCTAGTTTAACATTTACATTCACATCTAAAAACCACGCAAATGGAGTCTTCGCAATCAATGACCGATGCTCGTCTGTCAAGCGTTCATTCAAAGTACATATATACTTTGTCGAAAAAGAGTGACGAACGGTTAACTGCAACAACCAAAATAAAATAAGCAAAACTACTAAACCCAATAACCAAAACAAAACGATATGAACCCCAAACCTAAACCCAAACCAAAAAACCATGGAACGAAATGGAACGACAAACCACTTACCTTCGTCGTCGGACAATGCTCACCGGACCTTGCCATTACGCACGATAACATCTATGAAAAACACCACCTTTACGAAAATGGAGGGAGACAACACGACGTACAGAGAAAGCAAAATGAAGAGGCAGGAAAACGAGACCTTCATTTCCAATGAAACAAATATGGGTATTTTGGGATTCTCACTTAAAACAAAACTTACGTACTTCCATTTCCACGGTTTTTAAAACAAATTAATTTTAAATTAAACTAATAAACATGCTACACGTGGCGTTGTAAAAAAAGTGTTAAAAATTCGTTATTAGAATATCGCTGTACAAATTCTAATACCATAGCATTTCACAAATCTATGAAATCAACCACACATCTTGTGAAGAAAATCTTGTTATAAATATTAGCACTAACAAACCTTCAGTCACATCCTCTGGATAATCTTTTTACTGTATAGAAAGAAATATTTTTTAATAATTTTTTTAAAATGCTTTTGTTTTTATCTATTTTTGACTTAATTTAATTCGGTGTTAATATAGTTTAAAAGAAGATTACATAATCATATTTTTTTACATGTTTATTATTTAATTCCAGAAATAAAATGCGAAAAATAACATTAACACTAATATAAGGATTTACATTAAATCTTTTTTAAAATATACACCACCATATATAATAATAAAAAATACTATCAAACCTTTTAAAAACAGGTAAAACTCAAACTTAAGGAATAAGTATAAAAACATAACCAATTTTATTACTTTTACTAGAACTGCTTTTACTTTATTTAGCAAGTATACTCCAAAATATTCCCCTCTTTTATTTCTATTTTGTTAACATTATCTTTTACTCATTTTTTAATGTAAATCACTTTTGTTTAACACGAAATATTTAATTGAAAAGACAGTTTTATACCGTTTACCGGCGAATTCTACCGCCGTTAGCCGGAGATGGCCGATCGGTTCTTTCCAAACGAGATGCCTCCCTTTGTGGCAGAGACAGCAGACCAAATTCCATTGACGGACTCCCTCACTGCTCTTCTCTCGCTCCCTTACCAAACCCTATCTGCAAAGTTCCAAGAGTCTGCATTTCACTTGAAACAATCGGTACTCAAAAACTTAATTTTGAATTTGTGGGTTTCTTTCGATTAGCTTTCTTTGATTTTGGGTAGGGTCAAGTTAGCAGCTTTAGTGATGTTCCTTTGTTGGGTCGGTCTGTAAGTGTTTTGTACTTGTTGTTCAGGTGTTGAGGGAGACATGGGGATCACGTGGGAAGCGTGTGAAGGACTATACCCTTTACACGGGGGCTCTTGGAACAGCATACCTGCTTTTCAAGGCCTACCAAGTAACCAAGGATGGGAATGATCTTAACTTGTGCTCTGAGATTGTTGAGGCTTGTTATTCTGCTTCAGCAGATTCTGGGTATTCTCTCTTTCGTGCGTCTAAGGATATTATTAGTTATGGCTTAGCCACTATAAAGGGTTGGTTTAAACTTTAACATGTTTAAATATAGTGTTTCTGTTTTAGGTTTTAAGGATTGCTTGCTTTTGATGGTTAGACTTGAGCACAATAGCGTTGTTTGAAGTACATTATACTGTTGTCTGTCTTGCTCTGTACTCGGGAGATTTCCACTTGTGTTTATCCCTCGGTTTACTTGAATCAGTATAGTAAATTAGTGTTTGGAAAAGCCTGAAACTAAACAGTTATAGTTTAATGTGGAATACCTTTTGATAAAATTTTATGCTTCTTGTTTATTGTTGGAAAAAATAGTCTCCTCACTTACAGTGTAAAGGAGTTTTTATGCTATTATGTATTAATAAACTGTTATATGTGGTGAGTTTGTTGGCTTTTACAGTACATGCTATGATTTTTTTCTGGTTGACACCGAAAAATTCTCTTAGAGTTCATAGAAATGAATTGTGTATTTCAGTGTACATTATAACTACCATGTTTCTAACATAATCCACAATATCATCTGCCATATGTTTATGTTGGATGTTTGGTTTTTGTTATATGCTTCCATGTGCTGTTAATTATGCTGGCTTCAATCCAATGTGGGAAATGAGATTATCGTGGTTTGACTTTCTAAATTCTAGTGTATGAGTTGCAGCCGTGTGACATTTCTTTGTGGGCGTGCTGGTGTTTGTGCTCTTGGTGCTGTTGTAGCTAAGCATACTGGTGATGAAAGGCTACTTGACTATTACCTGAGACAATTCAAAGAGGTAATTTGTTGTCTTTATTTCTGATCCGTGTGATAATTCCTATTTATACATGGAATCAAGTTGTTTAACTCCTTTTCATATATGTGCCTTTGCTTAGAACAGATTGTAATACCTCGTGATTCGCCATATGAGCTATTGTATGGCAGAACAGGTTACCTATGGGCTTGTTCATTCTTGAACAAGCATATTGGTAACAACACAATACCTACTACCCACATGGTAATAAGGCGTATCTGCTTCATGATGAGTCTCATGGGATTTTTTTACTCTGCAATTTATTTTGATAAGATGGCTTTTTAACTTCAATAGAGATCAGTAGTGGATGAGGTTATCTCGGCTGGCAGACAATTAGGACACAAGGGAAGATGTCCTCTGATGTATGAATGGCATGGAAAGAAATACTGGGGTGCTGCACATGGACTTGCAGGAATTATGAATGTTTTGATGGACATGGAACTCAAGCCAGATGAGGTGGAAGAAATCAAGGGTACCCTACGTTACATGATTAACAATCGTTTCCCTAGTGGCAATTATCCCTCCAGCGAAGGAAGTGAAAATGACCGTCTTGTGCATTGGTGTCATGGTGCTCCTGGAGTCACTTTTACCCTTGTAAAGGCAGCTGAGGTAATATTTTCCTTAGTTGCGAAATTCAAATGCGTACTGACTGCAGAGTAGTATCGGATGTAGTGTGTTCATTCATGTGACATGATTTTTCATCTCTGAAAGGAAACTACTGGTTATAAATTTTGCATCATTTTAGAGTGTTCATTCATGTGAGATATGATTTGTCACCTCTGAAAGGAAGATACTGGTTGTATGTTTTGCATCATTTAAGCATATGACGTGATTTGTTCCCTTGAGAAAGTGTTTCCACACAGGCATGAAGGGAACTCATGAATTATATATACTTCGCATGAATCTGGTTACAATGGGCTAGTACTTTACCGTTTCCTTTGAAAAGAATGACTAATACTAATAATACTAGTGAACATGGTGGCACTGAAGCTGAAAATGGTATATGCATCTCAGTTGGTATTTAAAGTAAGAGAAATGTTAGGAACGTATTCTTTAACAAACTCTACCATTGTTTGAAATTTGTTGGAAATCTTAAAATTGTGGGTCTTACGTTTTATTTAATGAATCTATTTAATAATTTTGTAGATTTCAACAAGTTTTAACAAATGCAAAAAACTGTGTTAAGAAGAATGTGTTCCAAGTACTCTTAAGGGTAATTCAGTTTTGAGTTCAGCAGAAATCATTTTCCTTTCACTTGTCAAACTCCTGTACAAACAAGAAATTAAGTTTCACTTCTTGTTTTCTTATATTTTAAATTGCCGAAGTTATGCAATAATTGTTGAGCCTAGCTGCTAGATACATGTTCACATCTCATGCTATAATCTTTGCCATAAAAATTAGGTTTTTGGGGACAAGGAATTTTTGCAAGCAGCTGTAGATTCAGGGGAAGTAGTATGGAAGAGGGGTCTGCTTAAGCGAGTTGGGATGTGTCATGGCATCAGTGGGAACACCTATGTCTTCCTTTCTCTTTACAGATTGACAGGAAATGAGAAGTATTTGTACAGGGCCAAAGCATTTGCTTGTTTCCTACTTGATAGGGCACATAAACTGATCTCAGAAGGAAAGATGCATGGAGGAGATCGCCCCCATTCCTTATTTGAAGGTCTTGGAGGAATGGCATATACTTTTCTAGATATGGTTGATCCACTAATGGCCAAGTTCCCAGGCTATGAACTTTGAGTCACTGTCATGATGTATATTAAAATTACACATATCTATCCTGAAGAACTTTGGAAGTATGAGAAGAAACTGCAACTTTGTAGTTTTGGCTTTGTTATGTTATATGATATGTATGGGATAATTGGAGAGTAAGCTGTTATGCATCATGCATGGTTCCTACTTTCAAAGAAATGTTTGTTTAGGATATATCTTGGTTAATGATTTTTCTTTTAATAATTCTTGGGTGAATTTAACAAATAATTATCTTTTTACAGAAATTGTGCCTAATGAGCATGAAGTGAAGATAAAAATAAACAAACCAAGAATGGCTTTTTATATAACTACACATGAAGAAACATCTTGTTAATTTTTTTTTTTCATTCATAATTTTATTAATATTTCTATTCAACTAGTTAACTTGCTTGCTACTTCAGATGAAGAAGCTCTAAGGATAGCCTCTCTTGGTTCTCCTTGCATGTTGCATGCGCAGGTGCTCTTTATATGGATCAAGATCTTAATTATGCCATATTTTCTGCAGCTCACTTATAAATGACAATTAACGAAAGACTTGAAAGATAACACCCGATACTATAATTTTTAGTTACTATGCACAGTTATTTCAGAGGTTTTGAGCAAGATGGTCACACCCTCTTGGATGAATGATTTTATTGAGTCTTGATTCACAATCAACACCCTACATCAAAGCAAAGAAGTGCCTAGCTAACATAACAACATTAAGGCATTCGAAATGGTAGGATATATCTATCCACTCTTTTGAGACGTCATTTTCCTCCATAGAAGTGCAAGGTCTATAGAAAATGGATTTTGGAAGCTCCCACTTAGGCCAAACCAACGAGCTTCTCACTAATATCCCACACCCTACGAGCCTTCTCAGCATCACTGGCCTCCTGTGACAACTGGTTCTCAAATGAAGCAGATGTTTTATTCCAGCTCCAGTAAACACCAGATTTTGTAAGACTTGGATCACTCACAACCTGTGTAAAAGATAACAACAACAAATGAGATATAAAGACACTTGAAAACTTCATGCTCTTGTTATCATTATGACCAAACTTCATTGCTACCTGAGCAAGTCTCTTTCCTGCTTCATCTTCTGAGACAAAGCCTTTGGTTATGTACTTCTGGAATGGAGGGAATAGAGTTCTGAACAAGGGAATGTGCTCTCTGAACAAACCGGTTGTGGCAATGCAACCAGGGTAGAGCGATGAGAAAGTGATTCCAGTTTCCTCGTGGTATCGTCTGTGGAATTCCTGCATTGTGAGCATATTACAGACTTTGCTGTCCTTGTATGCCTTGGCACCATCAAAGTCTCCACCATCAATCATGGCTGAACTGTTCAGCCCACTCAAACCACCCTGAAGTCCCCTCAAGTCACCAAGGTTTGCCTTGGGAGGTACATTACCAGCCAATGTGTTGGTGTTCCCTGTTGAATCAACCCAATCAGGACAAAAATGCAACCAAATAAAGTGTGATAAGAACTAGAATTCCCAATAAACATCTAACAAACTGACCAGTGATTGAACCAACAATGATCAAGCGCTTTGAAGGGTAATCAGACTTTTGCAAGTCCTCAAGCAACAGGCGTGCAAGGAGGAAATGTCCTAGATGGTTTGTTCCAACACTAAGTTCAAAGCCTTCAGCAGTGTATGTAGGTTCCTTAGCAGTTGGCAAGTAAACTGCAGCATTGCAAACCAACACATCTAGTGGCATTTCTGATCTTTTGAAGTTATCAACAAATTGTCGGACACTGTCAAGAGAGGCAAGGTCCAAGTGCATGATGGTGTAATTTTCCTTAGCCATGCCAGCAGATTTTGCAGCTCTTGCAGCTTTGAGGTAATCCCTGCAGGCCATTATTACATGCCATTTTCCTGTCTCAGCCAAAGCCTTGGCAGTGGCCAGGCCTAATCCAGAGGAAGCCCCAGTTATCACAACACTACCTTTCCTCAATGTTTTCTTGCCTTCTGGTGCAGATTTGGTGACTGCTGGAGAGGCTGTAGCCACTGTCTCCGCCCTCACAGCACCAATTTTTCGCTGGGATTCCCTCTGATAGAAAGAGGGGTGAAACAGAAAAAATTAGACAAATGGCCACAACTTTTTTTCTTTAGGAAGGTGGGTGGATTTAGTATTTTGTTTGTAAGCAAAATCTCTTATAGTATACAGATAAAAACCCATTTCAAACAAGTATAATGACATAATCAGAGGCTAAAGCATTCTAATTCATGTGTTCCAAAAAGTATTCAGTTTCTAAGTGGAATATACTATCCCTCTGTCCAATAGCAAGTGTCGTTATAATCTTTTTACACAAACCAATAAAAGCTAATAAATAGATAAAAAGGTGTAACAATTGTATAACATTAACTTTATCATCCTTGTTTATTTAAACAATAGTATAAAAGAATGTAACACATATCATATGTGACGGAGATAAAGATATTGTTTTGGTCATTTCACATGAGAAACCTTAAAACATGGATTTCCAAAAGAAAAAAAAAAACATAAACTAAAAGAGCAAATTATACTGTCATGCTCTGAGATTTTCTTAAATTTCTCTCCCATATCTCATTTTTTATCCGTAGACTAACTCTTACATTCTTCAAAATAAATTTCATTGACATTGACACTCAATTACCCACATAAAACATGTACTCCCACAAACAAGGAATTAGTAAGATTTCATTGGGTGTGGCGAGCAACCCAAATGATAGTATAATATGCTCAAAATAAAATCATTCTTAAAATACCACTACTGAGAGATTAGGAAGAAGCAAGTTAATGGAGAATTGAGAAGAAGATGGCAAAGCATTAACTGAACTACCTTGCACCTCAATGCAGAGGAGCTGAAGTCAGCCTTGATAGGTTCTGACAATGAAAGACCGAACAGTGTGGAGTCCTTGAGAGAGACACCAATCTTTCCCTGCAAACACAAATGACATGATCCAATTATCTGTAAGGAAAAAGCACCAAACACAATGAATAAGAAGAACCGACAGCATCCTGGTGAGAAATTAAAGCAAACCTCTTTAGGGACAGAGAAAGAAGCAGGAACAAGAGAAGCAGCTTGGAGAGCCATTGCAAGAAAAAGAAAAGGATTAGAAACTGGATTTTGGGTTTTACAACGTAGTGAAGTAAGTAGAAGTGGTGTTACCACTGGGGTAATGGAATGTGTGGTTCGTGTTTGAGCTCAAAATGAATATATATATATATATATATATATGAAATGATGTTTGTGAAATTGTGAAGATATGAGTGGATAAGATAATTTGCAGCATGTGCATGTGCCACGTCATTTCGAAGCAACCAATGGAGTGTGGAGTTTTGGATTTCTTAAGAAGGGATATTTTGATCCGTTGGAAATAGGAGCCACTGGTAGTTATGGCCTATGGAGTGTAAATATCAGTGCTGAAAGTGACCGAAAGAGTGGTGGTAGGTCATTGAAGATAGAATCTGACTGAATTGAGTACTTTTTTTGGTAGCTTTCTCGATGGGGTATGTGTGTTGGTAATTTTTTTCTGTGACAAATGAAGAAACTAGAAGGTTTGAAGAAACTCCATTGTCCAAATATGTGTCTTTGCAAATGTTAATGTTGTAGCTTAGGGAATGGATCGTTGCGTTGTGTTATCCTAACTCAATCACTGTTTTTTGGTTCATAACCCAATTGGCACAATCAACTATTGAGCCTACCAAATTATCTTACATGATAGCATACCAAATTAAAAGATATGTTTCATGTTTATACAGCGGAAATTCTTTCCATTGTATATTTCCATTTGATAATTTATAAAGTAGAAACGTGGTTCCACTCTATATGAATCTCAACATAATAAAAAAAACAAGTGTCTATTACACATTCATTAATATATTTTTATTTAGGATGATATTTATTTTTTGAATTATATATTCTAAAATAGAAAAGTTTAAAGTTTCAAAAATTATGCAATGGGAGAACTCTGATACAATCCGGAACTTAAACACAAAGGAGAAACTCATCAAATGCAATACATAAACATATCAGGAACCATGAACCACCACCGCAACAATTTCAAACATTCATTGTCTAAATTTGTTTCCAGAAGGGTAATATGGGTATTTTGAAAAGTATGGGGGTGCAGGTAGAAAACATGGATGCAAGAAGAATTTGCCTCCCAGGACTTCCTGTCGAATTTCTTGTTGCACCCTATCAAAAGTTTGCAGAAAATTATTTTCATAATAGAAGTGGGCTGATTGTATACCCCCAAATTTTTTTCCAAATTTGAGTGTGTTCGGGAATATGGTGCAGAAAGTAATAGCATGTAAGAAAGCAAGAATTGATGATGACTCTTGCCTACAATGCAGAGTTTTAATTGATTAATTTGTATATTCAAAATAACTATATTTATAAATTTACATGTTCTTTCTATAGTTAAATTTCAATTAAGAAAGTTATTAAAATATGACAAAAGTTAAGCATATTAATATAACTGGCCTGAAATATATTTGTTGCTATTGCTTATTAGAGCTGTAGATTAATATTGCACCTCATGGAACCAAAATATAAAGCACATTAGCAAGTGTGGGACATTTCACTTGGGAAAAAAAAAATCTTATTATGAAACTTTTGTCAAGGTTATCTTGTGTAAATAAATTTCTGGAATGAAGAATGCCACATGACACTAAATTGCAGCCATGCTGCTTTATTGAATTGATTTGCTTTGGACAAAATATAAATTCCATAACAATGCTCAAGACAAATAAATGTGTAAAAGAATCATCATTTCTAATTTCAATAAGCTTTTCCCGTGCTTGCGTTACTCTACAATTGCCGATTACATCCATCGGTTTCTAAATTTCCTGCTGTAACTTTTTTTTTGTTTTTTTTGTTTGACAATGTTTCCCCTTTATCCCCCTCAGTGCCTGAATGGAATGACAACCTATCTTTCATTCAACGCACAAGAACAAGAAAAGAAAATAAATGAACCCCGCTAATATTACAAATCTCACCCACTTTTTCTGTACAGGTTTTTCACCAACAAATTGAGAAGGTGAACTCAACTGCCTTCAGAGCAGATATCATCAACTCATTCTCTGTCATGTTCATAAACATCT